ATACTTCACTTCACCATGCGATACAGTACCCGACATCGCAAAAGCTGACTGCAACTACTGGTTTGCAAAGTCCTAGATGCATCACACCAGTGAAACAGCAACACTTTCAAGACATTGTGATCGCAGCACATGCAATGTCGCCACCTCCTTCTGGTATCGCGAGACATAAATTCTTGGAGGTCCAGTTTGCTTAGTCTTAATTACGGCTGTTTCGGATATGTCAAGTGAGTTGCGCTTCCATGTGCTGGAGGATGTTCCAAATGACGATGAGCCGGAGTTTGTCAGTTGCCGAAAGCCATATGACGACTTCGAGGAGGTCTGCTCCACAGCCTTTGCACATGTGCTCTGTCCCTTGGCTGTCACTTAATTTCGAACGGTGCAGGAAATGGACGACGACACGCGTGACATGGACGGATACGACGAGCAGGTATTGCCTGACATTGTCTGCTCCTTTCTAGTCAGGGCACGAATGATTGCCCAAATTGGCCAGCAGGATACTGGAGATGTAGATGGTGGTGACTATTACAATGAGGACATCTGATTCTCGCAGATGCCGTGTGCTTGAGCGGTATCGCACGAATGATCATTGCCGGACTGCATGCTCACTTCCTTTTGTCGGCAGGAAGACGATTGCATAGGGGATGACTATGCAGATGACGACTGGGAGTCCAGTTACGGCTCGAGTGAAGGCCGCAAGAAATTGTTGGCTTGAGAGGGATGCTGTTTCTTGTTCTGAATTGCAGCCGACTCCGACGACTACCGCCACCTTTGGCCAGATCCCTTTGAGGAGGGCACCCAGGCCACGGACGGCTGCGCTTTTGGTTTCTTGCATAGTGGCAGCGCAGCCGCGAGTCAGACATCCTGTCCGAAAGTGCTAGCCGAGAAGATAGCGAGCTTTGATTTTTGACCAGTGTAGCTGCTGCTGCCGCCTGCCACCGGCACCTGATGCCCGCCTGGGATGTAAGCAATGTCATTGCCAAGACCTGAACAGTATACTATTCATCGTAGCTGCATTCGGTTTTCTTGACTGTTCGTCGTTCGAAGACGCGTGATTATAAGCATATCGTTGTGTTCCCTTTGTTTCGTGTCGCAGGCTTCCAGCGCGCCCAGGCCCGGTGGCACGTGTACAGGAGGAGTCACGGACCAGGCTGCTTAAACAGTGCAGTCGTCAAAGGTCGCCCACCCCATCTATGGCTGGAGAGGCGGCGGTCCAGGCAGCGTCCGTGGGCTGCGGGGGTTCAGCAGGGCAAGCATAGCAGGGCCTGTGGATCTGAGGATTCTGACGAAAGCCGTGCACTCCGGTTGATGGTTTTATTCAGCATGAGCGACAGCGACTGCAGCGTCACGGTAACGTGATCAGTGGAGGTGCCGCTTTGCGGAGTTGGCCTCTGCTGGCAGGCAGATCAGAGCAAATATTCAGAGGGTCTTTGCCTTTGCAGTCGTTTCACGGGGCCCCGTTGACAGGACTATCACCGCTCGATTTCTCTTGGATTCTAACCCTAAAGCTGATCTTTTGCCAGCAGTGCCACACTTTGTTTATTTCTGCTCCATGGCCTAGACCGAGTGGACTTTGGAACAGGCAGACGATGCTGATTTGATCTCAGATGGTCTCAAGGCAGGATCTGTGTCAGGTTTGCCGGTTCAGATCAGGTCGAATCTCGGTTTAACACGGTGCTGGTTCGGTTTAGGTAAGTGTAGGTGATGCAGGAACCGAAACTTTCAGGTGCTTTGCCTTTCACGCCCGCCTCACTGGCGAGATGGGCCTCCGGAGGCTGCACGATGTCTCGCTCTCCTGAGCGCAGTCGGCCCCCTCTTAGCAAAGTTCCTGCAACACCCGTACGGTTGTTACGCATCGATGCAGGGTCCTGATCCGCTTGACATGACGATATTGACGTTTTCATGAAGTAGAGCTTCCCGGCCAGCGGCCACCAGGTTCGGCGTGAGCCGAGCGATGAGTCCAGATGTTGACCGCGGCCCAGTTCCCTCTGACAAAGTAGAAACGGCCAAGCTCAGAGCAATCTCCAAGGCTACAACCACTCCCGAGCAGCTGGCGATTTTCGTTGCTGCCCAGACGACTACTGGGCCTGTGCCCCAGAAGTGCTCTTGCTTCAAGATGTAAATGAGATCTTCGCAGTCCAATGCTGTATTACGCCGGTCCGGCCTTGAAACAGCTGCAGGCGGCGTTTCATCAGAAGGTCCCTCAGCCTCAGCTGTCCAACTTCCTCGGCAAGGGCTGTGCTACGCAGGGTGTCAGGTTGACGGATTGATGTCGCTGGTTAAGAGCAACATTCGTGGTTGGGAAGGAAGATACTGGTTTATTGGCAGGCGATATCATTTTGAGTGACGTGGCCTTGCTTGATGTTGTTCGTCTCTCGTCGCCTCGGCTCAGCTTTGGTGTGTCACCCTGTAGTGTCTAGGATCGGATCTTGCAGCTAAGCCCTTATAGACGGAGCTCTGAAAGACATCAACAAGAGGAGGCAGTCGTGCATGCACATAGGAGGCATCAGTTTCAGCAAAAGAACATCCCAGCACCATCTACAGTTTTTTCGGGTGTCTACGGGTGAGAGTCGCAACATGTGGCAACAAAAAGTGCGGGACGGATTCTTCTGGGCAAAGGAAAGGGCAGCAGGTCTGAAAGCGTTTTGGAGTTACGCATTCCAGTCAGACTATCGCGGCCAATATAGCTAAACTTCCCTTCAGCTCCGTCTCTGTGTGGTGGTCGCCAGCTGCCCGGTTGTTGGTTTGTGAGGTGACCACGTAAAGACCCTCCTCTTTCCTTGCCGAGGTGGCATTCGAAGTCTTTCTCATGAACCACTGAGAAGGCAGAGCTGAGGAAGAAAGAAAGGCTTTACGGAGGCATATCTGGTTTTGTGCATGTGCCAGGTGCACCTGATGCAAGCCATGGCAGCACGATACCCGGAAGTAGCTGCCAAAGCACATGCGTGATCCCGATGGAGGCGGTTGTGCTGAGGACACTCATCTGCCAGTGATCTCTCGGCCGGCATCACCGGAATTTCCCAGTGTTGTGCCTGCGACTCAGACTGCATCGTGACTCGTGACACTGACTTGACTGTTCGCACTCTCCACCCGGTTGTGACAAGCAGGTTTGAGAAGGCATGGGCCTGCCCCTGGAAGCTACAGATCATAAATAGATACTTAAACAATCAATCAATCAATCAATCAATCAATATATATATATATAATATACGTATATGGACGGCATGTGAAATGTATACACACATACTCGCACCTGTATATATATATATGTAACATGTATGTATTTTGAACATAAGATAATGTAGTATAGTATAGTATAGTATAGTATAGTATAGTATGGTACAGTATAGTGCAGTATGGTACGGTATGGTAAGGTATGGCATGGTATGGTAAGGTATAGTATAGTATAGCCTAAAAAAGACTAACATTCTATAATATATAAATATGTATACATATATATATATGTGTGTGTGTGTGTTTATAAGATAGCATAATGCAATATGCTGCATCACACTACGATATATTTGTATAGTGTAACATGTCATGGTGTGATATGATAAAATACGAAATAGTATGAACTAACATGAAATAACATGAAGAAAGTATATTTTTACATGTACAAAGAATAAGAGCAGGAATGATTATATATATATATAATACATATATATATATGTAAATATTTGTATAGATATGTATACTTTTATTTACATAGCAATGCACATGCTCAAACGCAAGCACCTACACATTCACATTCGCATACACGCAGACACACACACACACATGGACAGAGGTTCAGCCATAGACATGTACATACGCATCTACGTATACATGTACACATGTGCATGCTTGTGTCAGTTAATTCAAGAGTTGTGTGTACAGACCCTTGACGCTAGAGCTCCACATCGCGTGCAGCTGGGACAGTGTTGAGCATGAAGATGGATGCCAACGGCAATCCTGCCAGCGCAAGTTACTTGCTGCGAATTGCTAGATTGGGTGGTGCTTGGGTCGCAGTGCTGCGTGAGTCTGTGTTGGGTTAGTGCAGACGGAGAAAGCGGCAAAAGAAAGCTTAAGTTTCAACATAACTCCAAACCCAACAGCACTGCTCCCAAAGCCTAAACCTGGCGCCGAAAAGCATTAAGCCTGGAAGCCATGAGCCCCTGAACCTGAAGCCCCAAAGGCCCTTAAGCCCCTCAAACCCAATCCTAACCCTAAGTCAAGAGTGTGGCAGAATCCCCATCGGCGGGGGAGCGAGCGAGACTCTTTCAAGCCACCTTCGGAATGATGTCCGTTCCCGAGGCGGTCGCGGGTGCCAAGCCAATCTGCGACCACTTGTCCACCCTTGGCAGCTCCGCTGGGGCAGGCCTCTGCTGGGTCTGCCCATGATGTGGATTTGTCCAGCTTTGTTGGTCATGCTGAGACGAGCAGCTGCCCGCAGCTTCCGGTTGCCGACGCGAAGACATCCAATGCATTCCGGGTCGGGGTGCCCAGGTGCCAGGTGACTCAGAGAGGGAGCCTTCTGGGTGAGCTTTCCAGTCACTGGAGGCGAGCTGCCCGCAGCTTCCAGCGGCGCAGGGAGCCGTCCGGGCCCAAGCCGAAATGCGCTTGAATGCCCGTTCATTGAATGTTGAACATGCCATGCCATGATACATGCACGAGCCAAAATTGTCATTGACTTGTATTCTCAGGCCCAGCGGCGAGAGGAGGACGCCCGAAGCAACTTATGAGAATCGACACAGCTTTTTTCAAAGTCCGCTTCGAAGACACTGGCAACTCATCTGCCTAGTTGACGCTTTGAAGTCACTTGAACATGACAGGAGTTCTTCGCACGCCAGCTGCAGCATTCTTCGGTGAAGTCGCGCAGACAAAGGCCAGAAGATCGATGCAAGATCGTCTTACGTGTTCGTTTGGATCAGTGCACTGCGATGTTCACATGAATCGTCAAAATTCCTTCTTGTCCTTGAGCTCAAGCCCTAGTCCGCTGGGCGGGCCAGGGTTAAGCCGCAATGAAGGGCCCGTCGGGCACTGGCCCGGCGAGGGGCCTGGGCGTTTTCTGGAGCGCCCTACTCATCACTTTCCTCGCCTGGCCGGCCAGTGCTGTCACCATCACTGTCCCGGCAGTCCCGAAGGACGTGAGCACGAATGCCACGCAGACACAGTTGCGGGGCCTTCAAGGATCCTTCGTGTCGGGCAAGGTCTCAGCTGCCGGCCTGGCTTCGCCAGCTGCACCCCCTCCAGCTGCAGGCCCATCTCTGCACAGGCTCTGGCGCCTCTTCCGGCAGGTGTTGGGGTACTTTGTTCTTGCTTGTGGAGTTGCCTTCTGGCTATATTGGGTGCCTACGAAGCTGTACAACGAGCACGAGAATTTCTTAGCTGAGAAGTTGGAGGGCGACTCAGTGACAAGTCAGAGTCTTCCCTGTTTTCTGGAGATGCTGCACAACAGCGGGACGGGATGACGAATAAATAGGTCCGGTTAGGTCCTTGAGACTCCCCACGAGAGATCTGGCGAATTGCGCTGCTAAGGTCGATCTTTCAGCATGTACCTGGCGTATCGCTTCAATTTCTGGATGGACTCCGAAGGTCTTTCAGAAGCTTGGCTGTCCACCTTAAAATACCAGAACAAGTGCTTGTGCGGCTTTTGGGCTCCGTAGTTTGGACGTGGTCACGTGCCGTCAGCTTTTTCGGATCTTGGCAGGCCATGGGCATCATCCTTTTCGTTGGCATCCTGTCTCTGTTGACTGCGGGGGCTTTCCTGTACGCCTTCTTCTTGGATGAGTCGCCGGTCACGGGCCTTTGGATGTGCTACTTGCAAGAAGAACCATCGACACCGCTTGCCACATACTTGGAGATGAGCCATTTCACTTGGTACGCTTCCTGAAGCGTAAACGTGTAGTGGTTCTGCAGACTACTTAGCAAGGTAGATCAAGGCCACCCAACTGTGCACTGTGAGCTCAGGCTTTGTTTGGGCGTCAGCTGCATCTGTCGACCCGCAAGCTCCGGCTATCATGGGCTTTGCTGCTGAGCTAAAGTTGGAAACCTGCGCAGAACAGTACGTTGAGGTTGCGAGACTTGCTGGACTTTGAAGGGGCCGGAGTTTGAAGGGGCTAGCATGCACGTCAAAATACTGGAGCTGTTGACCTGCAAAGGTTGGAATTCTTACCACGCTTGGTGGACTTATCCTGCTGGCTGTCCTCCTCACCACCATCTCGGACTATTTTGCCAAACAGGTCGGTCGAATATAAATACAAGTATATGCGCATAACACCACCCCGTGGACTAGGGTGGGTTTCAGCTATTTCAACTATGTCATGAGTTAGTTGGTATCGTGTCCTTCGTCTCTCCCTCAAGCCCCTTCCACCCATTCCTATGAGGGGAATAAAGTGATATGGGGCCTGTTTCTATTGTTCTTGACTTGTGACAACTTATTGCACCTGAATAATTGAGATGATTGAAATGGGGCCCACGTCATTTATTTCAAGGGGGGTGAAGGGTCCCCGAGGGATGAAGATTAGGGATTCCAAATACTTCAATTTGAATGGCGGGAAAGGGTTGTTGAGATGATGGAGGTTTGCAGATTTCAAGTGTTCCAACATTATTGGGATCCCATATTTTTTTGTTTCAAAAAATCGAAACGAGGCCTAGTTTCAACTGTTTCCTGAAGTTGCCGGGCCTGTATCTCGAAATAGTTAGAATAGACAAAATGATGGCAGTTTGGGATTTCAATTATGTCAGCTCCAGTGAATTTTATACCTGCACGGAAAGAGTAAGAGGGCGCAAAATTCTGCCCAACGGGCTAACCCTCCCTCCCTCGCTCGCTCTCGCTCTCGCTCTCTTGTTCTCGCCCTCTCCCTCTGTCTCTCTCTCTCCCTCTCTCTCTCACATGTACAGACGCAAATATATGTTCATTTTTAAAATATAATATACACATATATACACACATACTCGCACGCAACACACAGTTTGCATTTGCATATTTGTGCGTGCCTGTTGTGTATGCGTTGTCCTGTGAAACTCGCACAGGTCCAAGCCTCGAAGGCGGGCCGTGATCCGGTTGTGGAGGTCGGCCACCTCCTCGTTCTCGGAATCTTGGGCATAAAGAGAGTGCGAATACATGGCTGCGCTAGATAAGCACACAAGAGTTTTCGACAATACAAAGAGACGACGCACGCAGAACGGGGTAGGTAACTGAATCATGGCGAGTGGGATGCACACAGAGCTACATATGCACATACAGAATATACACGCATATTAAATACGTTACATGACGACATTACATGACACTACATCACATTACATTACACTACGCTACATTACATTGAATTGCATTGCATTGCATTACATTACATACACGCATACATACAAACATACATACATACATACATGCATACATACATACATACATACAATCATACACACATATATGTATACATATGTACATATACACAAGGAACATAAGTGTACAAACATATATATGTATATATACACACATATATTTAGAAATGTGTGTGTGTATATATATGTATGTATATGCACAAACATATATATATATATATAGTTGCACTTTGGGTATCTGGGTCACATGACATATTTGTGTGGATGAGTCATCTTTGGACCGCCTCGTCCGCGCTGAAATTGTGTATATGTTCATACATATACATATATATATACATATATATATACATATATATAATATAATATAATATAATATAATATAATATAATATAATATAATATGATATGATATAATATAATATAATATAATATAATATAATATAATCTAATATAATATAATCTAATCTA